TAACAAATCATTCCCTTTATGTTGGTCAACTTGAATAAATCAATGGCTATAGTCACACGGTCATTTTGATCGGGTTTCACTGCTGTTCCCTCTTGCATTTAAAATTGCTGATTAGACGCCCACATCCGTCTTTCGCACCGAAGTGGGCTCACTCACACAATCCTCCTGGTTCCCTAGCAAGTTTTCCTACACCAGGAAAATCAAGTACTTTCCGGATATTTGCGCTTTTAATCCGCGATTTCGCCCATCTGGACAGCCATCTCTTGCAATGATCATGATTAGGTCATCTGAACGTCCTTCTCGTGATGTTGTTTTTTTACAAGCTTCCATTGTTGTAAGCATGAGCAATTCTGCGCCAAATAAATTCAATGTATAAATGTTCGAGTGCACATATAGACTCCCGCACTCAGTTGTACGTTGCCGGTTAATTTTGTTTGCTGTGTTGGGGGGGGGGGACCTGCAAGAACAAGGGAGTACAGCGAGTCCCAGTGGGAGCGGTGATTTGGCTATGTGTATATGCACATGCGCAAAGCCATTTTTTTAAAAAAACAAGCCATACCGCCCAAGTGGCAGTGCGGCTATCCCAACCTGAAAATAAATATTACCGATCAAATCTATAGTGGGAACAAATCGGGATAAGCTTGCTGTGTGACCACAGCCAATGACTCCCTAGTACTGCTTGTGTCTCTTGCTCTTTTTCTTCAGTGCAAGTCTCAAGAATCCCACAAGCCTGCTTCTGCCAAGTCTCTATTTCCAATGTCCAAGGACTGATGTAGACACAATTCAGGAGATCCATGATCCAGTCAAAGTTAATACAAATTCAGATTCAAATACATGAGAAACATTATCTATTGTGGATGTAGTGGAAAATGTCCAGAGCTCACTGCTCTCTACCACAATCAAAGTAACAAGTGGGCTCATGGGAGACAATCCCTCCTTGCTAATTCTTTTTTTTAATTGATATTTTATTAAGTGTATGTGTATGTGTGTGTATTTTTACGCATATCTTAACACTTCATTTTTCATATTCTCCTCTTTCTAAGAGTCAAATTAAACATTGAAAGCATAAGTGCTCTCTATCCTCATTATCTTATTCCCTTTCTTTCCTCGCTTGCCCAAACCTCCGTACAACTTCCTCTAATTCATGATCTAAACATTATTACATTCTTCTTTAAGTTATTCAAGATTTCTATACTTCTTTTGCTGGATCCCCTCCATACATCCTTATTTTATACTTATAGTCTTTCTTCCATACCTATAAAGGAAAGTTGAACAGGGTTGCATCCAAAACTGGGTGCTGCAGAGGAAGCCTCTGCAACAGGAGGAAACCCTCCTCCCTCTTATCAGGGGTCTTGGGGGGGCACACCCTTCCCCTCCTTGCTATGTCGTTGGCTTTAACTATTCCATTCCTATTGCCTATTTCCCATTATTATTATTCCCACTCATCCTATCTACTAACTCTAACTTACTCTATATACTAACATACTATCATACTTACTCTAACTTACTTTGGTCCCGTTCACACTAGGCGATTTGGGCTGGGAGCGGGACAGTTCGGGGGCGAATCAAACTGGCGCGATCACAACACAACATCTGGGAAGCGTCGAGCTTCCGTCACTTGTCTCTCGTGATTGCAGAAAGTTTATTCTTCATCTGAACCTGTTTAAATTCGATGATAATATCAGGGGAAGTGTTTTCAGGAGCCTTTTGGGGGATATTTAGCTGGAAGGCAGAGCTGATGATCCCTTCAGAAGACACTGCTTCTCCTGCTCCTAGGAGAATCTGAGTCAGCCATTTGTTTAAAGCTGCAGTGAGATTTTCTTTGTCACCAAAGTTTACAGATACTCCACTGGGTTTAACCTTCTTTTCTCTCAGTTTTGTGTCCTGGAGTATGATCTTGTTCTTGGCCCATATCTCAAAGTTCTCCTGAAATTCTTTAATGTCGTCTGCATTCTTTTTTGCAGAGTGAAATGCTGATTCAGCTTTCCTCTCTGTCATTTTCAATGCTGCATTGAGCTCATCTAATTTCTTATTTATAGGCTCAATTGTTTGTTTGAGCAGCCCGAATTCATTTTTAACTGTCCAACCTCTCCACTCAGAAACTTTAAATCATTCTTGATTTTGTTCCTTATCTCTGTTAAGGCATGCAATAACATAGTCTGTTCGCTTTGGTCAGGGTTACTCCCTCCTGCTGCCATTTCCCCTAACAGAAAAGCCTCTAGGTCTGAAATATCTGAGTGTTCAAGGTCAGCATTACTCTTTTTGGGAGGTCTATAATGAGGATTTTTAGTACCTTTCTTTGCTCTGGTCCTTCCCATTGATATTTGTTCCAAACTTGGCTGTATTTTCTGGAAGCAGAGCTCTAATTTTCTGTGGGAATAGCAGGCACTGGAAGGGATGCAGCCAGCCAGAAGCTCAGCCACCACGCCTCCCCCCGGCTAATTCTCACTGCCACAGAGAAATAGCTGAAACAGCCAAAGCTTGTCTTGAACAGCATCAAGAGCAGAGTGACCTCTGAACACAACACAAAGGAAGGGGTTGCCAAAAAGTGTTGGCAAACTGCTGGCAAACCTCCTGTGTCTGAGCAAGTGGCCCAGAGCACTGCAAAATAGCAGGTGTGGCTTTTGCCACCTTATCTGAATAGGGCTGCAGCTTACTAGTTTTGAAGGCAGAGGAGCCAGCCCTGTTAGAACAGAAAGGTGGCAACTCGAGTGAGGTTGCTGCAGGAAGCTCTGGGGTGATTTGCAGGGCATAGCAGATTGTGGTGGTGGGGAGAGAACATCCCTTGCCACAGTGCTGCCTGGTCGTATACCCAGTGAATGGGAATATAGGGTAATAGCTACCAAAGAGGTTAACTACAAGAGACTAATAATGGCCCTGGTCACACGGGTCAGATATCATGGGGGGGAGGTGTGGCTAATTGCCCCGGCACAGTTGGATCCGGGATTAAGCGATCAGACGCGGTGGCGGCACACCACGGGTCTTTCCCTTGGCGCCGGCGGGTAAATGAGGGACCGGAGGGGAATGCCGCACGCCGGCGTGATCACACCATGGGTGTCTGGAGGCAGCCCGTGGCAAGCGTTTACTAGTACCTTGGAGGTACTAGTTTTTGAACGTGCATCGTTGGCGGGAAGCTACGGGTTAGCCACGGGAGCACTACGCTTCCCAGATGTTGCGGTGTGATCGCGCCCGGAAAATCCGCCTACCATCCGTCTCTTTAGCACGGCAAATGCTCCGTGTGAATGGGGCCGATAATAGGCAAACTCTGTTCCCATAATGGGTCTTCTGTGTTCCTGGAGGTGCACTAGCATGGGCTGCAGCTAGCACCCTGTCTTCTATGGGAGAAGGAGGAAGAGATGAGATGGTTCTCTCAGGCAGTCCTTTAGTTCAGTGAGTTTGTATTTAGTTAGAGCCAGCCTTGGTTGTCTCTAGGGCCCAACCCTTGGATCACAGTTTCAAAGAATAGGTCAAGTTCTGTCTGTTTGTTCTGCCTTTGTTACCTCAGAAAGGGCAAACCAAGCTTGCTGGCAAAAACTAAAATCCAGCGGTCACTTTTCCAACTGATATGCACAAAGCAACCTCCAATCAAGCTGTACCTACTGTCCTCCAGAGACTCACCACTGGCTCCACCCCCTGTGCAATCAATACATGCTTTAGCTCTGCCCCAACACACTCCAGCTTTATTCCCTTGGCTAGATAATTGCAAAGCCACATAGTGGCATTTGAGTGTCTTTCAGGCTCCCTTAACCCAGTCCCTGCAACCAACCCCCATTTCCTGACATTCTGCTAGACGACCGGAACACATCCCTGGCCAATTTACCCTCACTTGGCCTTCCTGGTCACCTTCAGCTGAAAATGTAAAAACCAGAGAGAACAAATGTCTTTCTGATACCAAACAGAGCATAAAAGTGTCAATAATACAAGTGTCAATAATAAGTTGCAAAACTTTGCACATCTCTTTTGTTTGCTTATAGTCATGTGTTATCATCACAGCCCAGAAGATTATTGGCTGTCCTCTCCCACTCATGGAGGAATTGTATAGTTCTCGATGCTTGAAAAAAGCTTGAAAAAAGCAACAAACATTCTGCAGGATTTGTCACATCCTGAACACTCCTTGTTTGAACTGCTGCCTTCGGGTAGAAGATATAGGACAATCAAAACTAGGGTTGCCAAATTTTAATTTCCTACCGGCGGGGGATCTTCTGGCTGCCATTTGAGGGGAAAACTCTTTGTTTTCCCCTCAAACGGCGTGGCCCCGCCCCCAGCGTGCGACGTCACTTCCGCGTGACGCGCACGCGGGGGTGGGGTTTCCCCCAGGCCCCGATTCCGGTGCGCCGGAAATCGGGGCTCCGAAGCGGGGCATTCCCCGCCCCCCAGCTGCATTTGGCAGCCCTACAAAACCAACACAGGAGCGTCATGTGTGAAATACTCTGGCAAAACAGTCTTTAAAAAGAAAAGAGAAAAGAGAAAACAATCTAAAGATTGTGATGCAATTTCAATGTCCAGTCAACTTTATTACCTTCTTTTTTTTTCTTTTTCCCCATATTATTATAAATCTGTTCTGTTTCCCCATTTAAATTCTTTGTTTTTCTTCTACTTGCTGCTGGCAGGATTGTCAGCCTCCAGGTGGGGCCTGGAGAACTCCTGAAATTAAAACCAGACTACATAGATCAGTTCCCCAAGAGAAATACCGCTTTGGAGGGTGGACTCTTTGACATGCTACTTCTCTTTCCCAAACTTGTTCTTCCCAAGCTCCACCCCCCAAATCTCCAGGAATTTACCAACCAGTAGTTGGCAACCTAGTTGCTGGAGTTAAAGGCTTAATTGAATCCAGGGGTATTTATACCAAGAGAATTGGTTATGCTGACAGATCTTCAATCAGAAGAGGCCTCTCCACGTATCAGTGCATAAAAATAAAAAATTAATCTGTAATGTTGACTGAAGACACAATAAAACACGTAAGTTCCTGGTTTATTTCAGCTCTCTGACATGAAGGGGTTGCTGAGGCTCAGATACATGGTTCTGAAGGGTTGTCAATGCGGTACATTTCGTACTGGCATGTTTCAGGATTAACAACAGCTTCACAGCCTTCTGGAGCACCTACAACACCATTATATCTAAAAAACAAACAAACAAGCAAACAAAAACAGAGGAATTAAAGAATCATAGAATCATAGAGTTGGAAGGGGCCATATAGACCATCTAGTCCAACCCCCTGCCCAATGCAGGACCAGCATAAAGCATAAAGAACCACCTTAGAGCTCCTTCCCTCTGTCCAAGTTTTACCTATCCCACCTGAAAACAGCCCTGGGCTTCCTTTCATGAAGAGTCCAGTTCAGCTGAAGGAGCTAGGGGCTCAATGCTTGCTTTGAGGAAGTCATTTTAAGGAAATGTATGCATGAATGTGTGGCATGTCATCTGAACCTGTCCCTATGCCAAATTGTTAATGGAAAAGATTATCTGCCAAGAGGCTACTTGCTCTCTTATTCCCCTCCCTGTATGCAAGGAAAGAGGTGCTGTGGGTGTTGGTTTTGGGAACTGATGTCCAGAATCATCCTGTGCCACTTCTCAGCTCTGGCCTACCTGCTACAGCATTCCATTTCTCCACCAAGGCAATTGCATTTCATGCAATGATCTGTGTTCCACTCTGAGCCAGGTGGATACATGCTCCCATCATAAGGATCAATACAGCTCACTTGAGGCACGATCACACCTACAGGAGGGAAATTCCTATCAGTTTCATTTGCAACACTAACGAAACTACCAAGCTTCAGTGAAAACCAGACCCAAGGACAAAGAGCTTAGTCTGCAGAGTGCAATGTTCCCCCCATTTATTTTCGAAAATAACTTGACATGAAGAAATGTAGCAATCAAGTAACTGAAAGGAAAAGCTTTGCCTCCATCGTGTCTGTCCAGCCAGAAGACAAGGGAAGCTGTGAGTTGGCTTAGTTTGGGGGCACAGGATCTCTTTCTCCTGGAAACAACCTCATTTAAACAGCTCCATCTTGCATTGATTCCTAAATTTTTTCAAAGAGACAGATTGGCCCATTCTGCACCTAGCATTTGCTCCTTTGTTTTACCAAACCCACACTGGAACAGAAAAAGATGTGGTGCAAAACCACATTCAAATACTCTGGGCCAATGCTGTACCGACTATAGAGTCACCCCTGAACAGCCATAAAACCGTCATAAATCAATGCAGACGGTATCATAAAACCAAGAGATCAAAGGAAGTGAGACCAGCATGCAGTGTGGAGGCTACCATAAAATCCAACAATCAAAGAAAGTGAAAGTGGCATGCAATGTAGAGGGGAATTTCTGTTCCAGTGTGGGTTTCGTAAAGCAGCAGAGTGAATGCTAGATGCCGAATGGGCCAGTGTCTCACTTCCTGGAAGCCATAGTATGGTGAGGAGCGTATCTCTGAGAAAATTTGTACCAGGGCTGAGGAAGTTCTTACAGTCCTATTATTCAGGCAGGCACAGTCAGCAGGAGCTGTTGGTCAGAGCACAGCTGACACACCAGACACTATGATCTTTCCTTGGGTGGCACACAACACATCCCCACTTCATTTGGGAGTTTCCACATGATGCCGCGTTCTTTCTGCGCGTGGCTGAAGAGGCTCTCAGGACTTCCCCTTTTAAGAAGAAGCAAACCAAAACCTCTTCTACTCCGACATAAAAGGGAAGTGCCATGCCAGCTGCCCATAGAGTCTCCGCCTGAAAGTTCTGCCTGCAGCCAATCTGGAGGTGGGGGTGGAGTGGAGCAAACAGGCAACACTCAGCTCCAGCACCCCTCCCCTTTTAGCCCTATAACAAGGCTTCAAAAAAACCCCAATCACACAGCACAGGTTTGAGCCGTGGGTGGCTCAATTGTTGGAGGGAGGGGTTTGCCAGGCTGCAGGGGGTGACAGTAAGATTATAGCCAGGTGAGCGTCGCTGTGCCAGGACTAGGGCTGCCAGGTATGGGGGACATGGATGGGTCACTGTTGGTGATATTGTGACTTCCCTTCTAGGGAAAACGCAGGAGTGATGACCAATGTTCCCTCTAAGCTGTGGAGTCTTGTGAGCAAAAATTCTACTTTATGAGCTCCTGGTGGTAAAGTTGTGAGCCAGCGATTCGGCTACTGCATAGATTAGTTTGTTGTGGAGCCATCCTTCCTGAGCGAAGACAAAAATGTGTGAGCCGGAGGCTAACTCAGCTTAGAGGGAACACTGGTGATGACATGACCTCAGGCGGACAGCCATTTTGTTTGTTTGTTTTTCTCTCACTGCTGCTCAGGGTGGTGGCAAGAAATGGGAGCTGGGAACCAGGGATTCCCTGCCCCACTAGAGGCTTGGCCGCCCTAGCCAGGACTGGTGTGTGAATGCCCTCCCTATGGTCCTCAATCCCACTCTCTGCCGTTTGTGGGTAGGGGTGTCTTTCCTAACCCCTGTGTGGAATCATCCACAATTTGATATAGGGAGATGCCATTTCAGAAGTACACTTGTCTAGGGCAGCCAGGTGTCCCACTATACCTTCCTCCCCAGACCCTGGTGTCCTTGCTTGGTAGAGCAGTGGGAGTAGAGGGGGGGGGATCAGTATCTCATTAATGCCACAACATTTGTTAACATAAGAATATATGAGAAGCCATGTTGGATCAGGCCAATAGCCCATCCAGTCCCTCACCTAGTGGCCAAATCACAGGTGCCACTGTGTGACAGAGTGTTGGACTGGATGGGCCATTGCTCTGATCCATCATGGCTTCTCTTATGTTCTTATGTTAACTGATGTTGTGGCATTGACTTGGGCATGTACCCAGAAGTAATGTCACTATGTCAGGTGACACTCTAGGATTCCCCTGAAAGTTTATGGTAAAACCACAGAATTCAAGGCAAATCCTTCCGCATTGCCCCAATGCATCTCCGGGTTTGCACCCGAAGTGATATTGTGGCATTGGTGCAATGCTGATCATCGGGACTCCACCCCCGCCATGTTTCCTGGGGCTTTGCTAGCGTTGGGCAGGAAACCCTATCCCAGGCCATAAAGAGATTTACAGATCAACACAGCACCATGACTTGGGCCTCAAAACAGACCAAAGGCCAGCACAGATGTTTCTGAACAGGATGTAACAGGACTTCCTGCACTCCCCTCTCCAGTCTTTATTTCAAAACAGTGCCACTAGCCTAGAACTTGGTGTTTTGGAAGTACTCTTTGTATTATATATTTTGTACCCCAGTTGACAGTTCCCAGTTGATTGTAACCATATGGAGGGCATACATTACAAAGAAAGAGGACAGGGTGCTAAAGTGACATGGGAGCACAGTGGGTCCCTCGTTCTGTATAAGGTTCTTGCTGCACATACAGCAGGAAGTGAATGTCTGGGAACTCAAAGTGAAGGTCCACATAGAACACTTATGCTTTTCCATGTCCCAGTCTCTAACAGGAACTTCTTAGAGTCCAATTAGCCTTTATGAGTGGCATGAGTTGGGACACAAGTGCCACGTGCCATGGAGCCAGAGAACAGGACAAACAGTGCCTCCCCCCCACTGCCATTCCTGCACTTGAAAATGACATGGTAGGGAAGCTGGAAGCCCCTCCTCCCCACTTGCAGCATTCCACAGCCCAAAAGAATACATTTTTGATGAGTAATATCACTATAAATGAATTGTTATGTGTGACAGTGAGTCGGGTCAAGCACTGTGTCTTGACTCATGTCACTCATAACAACTAGTCTGCCCAGGGGTCATATGCCACATCCCTTGACATCACCGGAAGTATGTCAGAAGGCAACACCCGCTGCTCAGGCTCCACCCCAAAAATCTCCAGGTATTTCCCAACTCAGATTCAAACCTGGGTCTCCTAAATCCTTGTCTGGAACACTAACCACTGCACAACACTTCATGAGGCAGCGGCTGTTGAACGGTAGCAAGCAGCTGGGCCTGCATGAGTTATGCAAGTTGCATGGTGTCAAGTTGTCCAGTGGCTGCTGTCAGGCCTGACATGCTCTCTCCCCCTACATTTTACTGACAGAAACAAATGCTTGAAGGCTGGAAATACTGCTGTGGTTGACAAACAATGGCCACTGAGAGAATTCCTTTCATATAGCTACAGGTGCTGCTTCTATTATGGGTGAGGGTTGACCATCGATGCCATCGATGATGGACGACAGTTGGCTAGGTTCTTCCCTACTGGTCTGAATCTTCCACAGCTAACAATGTTTTCTCATTAAGATGTTTTTGGCTGACAAAATCAAAGTATAAATCAATCATAATAAATCTATTTAATTCTTGACATGGCCAAATTTGTGGATAGTTAGATCTATAAACAAACAAGACAGATGTTTCTACAAAAACTCTGAAATTAAAAACATTGTTGTTGTTGTTGTTAGCCATTCAGTCATGTTTGAATCACCAAAATATTTTGATCTTATCAGCCAAAAACATCTTCATGAGAAAACATTCTTAGCTGAGGAAGATCCGGACCAGATCGGGGACTGTCTCCATATGATCTCCATAGGGTATAATGATCCTCCCCAGTTGCCGGGGGTGGTGGTGGTGGCGGCGGCAGGCTCCCATCATTGAAGGGAGCATGCCACCACTGTGGCGTGACTCCAGAGAGGGGGGATTTAAACTTTAAACCCCCTCAGTCTTTGGAGTCGCTCCACAGATGTGGCATGCTCCTCTCAGATGTTTCTGCCTGGCAGCAGGGCCAGTGCTGGCCCCGCTGTCATGCAGAAGCTTCTGCTGGGTTCCCTTTCTCCCTCCCCCCCCTTTCCCTTTGCCCCACTTGGAGGTGAGGCAATGGGAAAGGAGGGGGGGAAGGAATGGATCCCAGGCGCTTCTGCCTTTCAGAGGGGCTGGCATGCTGGCCCCTCTGTCAGGTGGAAGAAGCCCTGGATTTTTCTCCCCCCCCCCTTTCCCTTCGTCCCGCTTGGAGGTGAGGCAAAGGGAAAAGAGGGGGGGAGTTTACTTGTTACTCCCAGAATGCTATTCCTGCCCGTTCCTGCTCGAAATGACCCTTGAGTCTGCCCAAACTGCAATTCCCAAGGATCTCTGGGGAAAGACATGATATTAAAAGGTAGCAGTGTTATACTTTTTTGCCCAGATTAGTAGGTTGTGTGATAGATATTACCATTTCTAATCATTGCTTTGGGTCCCACCATAAAACAGGCTGCCTGGCACAAGACCAAGGTGATACATAAAACACTGAGGGTGAGGAGGATTTTCTGAAAAAGAAGCAAAAGGAATTAACAGTTTGATATAAGCTCTGGGACATCCCCCCCCCCCCCAGTCTATGTCATTTTAAAAAGTAAGAAAATGAATATTGTTACTTTAATAATTTATTTAAAGCCAGAGCTACTAGGCATTTGATAAATTGTGGTCATAGAGAGAAAATGAAACATCAAATCTTTAAAGGTAATTTACAGGTGCAATGTACCAGGAAAAATGCAAGCTGTGGTGTTTTGAAAACTGTTAAATATTGGCTGTGAGAATTCTAACATCAGTGGCTGAATTGTTATGACAAACATTCTAATGGCTCAGAAGATTCAATAGCAAAAAAATAATAATAATCCTGCCCATAAATAGCTCATGGGACTGAGTTATCAGTGGTCAGCTGTCAAAATGAGTAATGTAAATATGTCTGTGTGTGTGTATGTAAGCAAGACAGAGTAGTACATGAACATGCTAATATAAATGTGTGCATGGAGATTGTGTGTGCACAGTCCCTAAATCTTGTAGATATTGTGAGGAAACTGCTCTTTACTTAGCACAGCAATGTCTTATTTTTGTTGACCTGTTCTCACAACACAATATAAGTAATGGGATGAGGATAGAATGAGGGACTAGACCCCAGAGAACCTATTGCAATTTTATTAAAAACATTTCTCTGAATGTTATGCATTTTTATATCCATAAATAAGAACTGAGAGGTGGAGAAAATAATTAAAAGAGGGGGAAAGTGTGTCCCAGAATTAATCTTTAAAAATAGCATCATCCAAGGTTCCTTTGATGCTAAGATCCAAAAGCATTCTACTTACCATTCTTCTGTATGCAGCGAACAGACACTTCCCAGTGAGAAATAGATCTGACAACCAAGGAATCTGAGTCTGCAAAGAATCCACAACCCACATTTATACAAATGACAAAGGGGAGAGGCTTCAACGAGGAGTTCACCTCCCATTGCCCCCTGCTGCCCTTGATTAACTGAACAAATATTCCAAGGATATCATTCTGTTCTGACTTGCACAGAGACACCAGTTTAGCTTTGCAGAGTTGGATCACCTTCAGAACTGTACCTACTTCAGAGTAACACCAAGAAGCTGATGGGCATCATTTTCAGGAATTTCATGCCAAATGGAGGACTCTGAACAAGATGGAAAAAATTTCAAAGGACTACCTTGTTTGGAATGCAACCCACCAAGCACTGTACATCTGAGGGCCAAAACAGCCAGTGTTCCTTCTAAGCTGAGTTAGTGTGAGCTAGCTCACAGTTGTTTAGTTTCTGGCTCACACATTTTTGTCTCAGCTCAGGAAGGATGGTTCCAGAACAAACTAATTTATGCAGTAGCCAAATCGCTCACTCACAACTTTAATGCCAGTAGCTCACAAAGTAGAATTTTTGTTCATAAGACTCCACAGCAGCAATTTAAAAAGTTAATTATCAGGCATGCAGGAGAGGAGAATTAGGCCTTCCCCTCTGTGCCATTTTCCTGGCCTGAAATGTCCCCAGGGTACCAGTATTTGCACTGTTTGACTAAAGTAATATATACACATAAACCAAATGAGGCAATTTCCTGGGGTATTTCAGGGCAAATCAGTTCTTTCAAAACAGGTGCCTCAGCTTGCTTGTAAAACCTCTAATCTCAACAATAGTTTTCAGACTCAATACAGCACAATCATTGGGAAATGTATACAAAACTTCAAACTGCTTATTGTATTAACTGTTGTGGTGCTGCAGGTCCTTTAAAGAATGTTTGGAAAGTGAAAAGTACTGAGACTGACGCAGTGATTCAGCTCATACTTTTATTGTAAGTGAAGAACAAGACAAAAACTACCAGCTCACAGGCCAATTTATATTCCCAGTAAACCTCACACCCCAAACACACCCCACATCAGTGATAGGTTGGTTATTTACATTGGTCAGGCGTTCCATATGGCCTTGCTAGGATCCTAGCTCACAGATAGGTGCAGGCTAGGATCCGCTCGGGCCATTGTTCTCTGGTGCGAAGCTCGGCTGCTTCGTATGACCGCGTGGAGGCCCGGCTTCGCACGCGGCCGAACTTCAATACATAACAGAAAGCCTAACACCTGCACCTAATCAGATCAATAAGAAAATGTGCTGTCTTGAGTCTGAAAACTACTGAAAGTACTTTACAGAGTAGAGCTCACTGAATTATCAGACAGAGGAACTACATGATGTTTGTGAGTAGTTTAACAGCAGAGAAGGAGGTGGGTGTTGGGCTTCTCTTGTGTTCTAATATTAAGATTATATTTTAGCTACTGCGGAATTTGCCCTGAAGAAGATAATAGAAATAGGTTTTGAGCCACCCCATCGGTGGGAATCCGCAGATGTGCTATTAATAGAAGTGGAGAAATTATGTGGCTTTGACTGCCGAGAGGAGGGATTGCAACACAGAACTTTGAATGGATGAAGGAGTTGACAATCAGATGTTCATATGGAGAGTTATTTGACCTAAACACTTTGTTCATCATGGAGGAATGATATGTATTGTGAAAATCTATTAATGTTAAAAATCTTTATAGTAAATACATTAAAAATCCATAATATAATAGCTTAGTAATTATATCATGGTTGTTTGTATAGTTTGTATTGATTTTTCAGCGTTGTTGTTCTTCTCTCGTGTTCTTCTTCTTGTTCTTCTTCTTGTTCTTCTCTCGTGTTCTTCTTGTTCTTCTTCTTGTTGTTGTTCTTCTCTCGTGTTCTTCTTGTTCTTCTTCTTGTTCTTCTCTCGTGTTCTTCTTGTTCTTCTTCTTATTCTTCTCTCGTGTTCTTCTTGTTCTTCTCCCGTGTTCTTCTTGTTCTTCTTTTTCTTGTTGTTCTTCTCTCATGTTCTTCTTCTTGTTCTTCTTCTTGTTGTTCTTCTTCTCTTGTGTTCTTCTTCTTGTTCTTCTTCTTGTTGTTCTTCTCTCGTGTTCTTCTTCTTGTTCTTCTTGTTCTTCTTCTCTCATGTTCTTCTTCTTCTTCTTCTTCTCTCGTGTTCTTCTTGTTGTTGTTCTTCTTCTTCTTCTCTCGTGTTCTTCTTGTTCTTCTTCTTCTCTCGTGTTTTTCTTGTTCTTCTTCTTCTCTCGTGTTCTTCTTCTCTTGTGTTCTTCTTCTTCTCTCGTGTTCTTCTTCTTCTCTCGTGTTCTTCTCCCGTGTTCTAATATTAAGATTATACTTTAGCTACTGCGGTATTTGCCCTGAAGAAGATCATAGAAACAGGTTTTGAGCCACCCCATCGGTGGGAATCCGCAGATGTGCTATTAATAGAAGTGGAGAAATTATGTGGCTTTGACTGCTGAGAGGAGGGATTGCAACACAGAACTTTGAATGGATGAAGGAGTTGACAATCAGATGTTCATATGGAGAGTTATTTGACCTAAACACTTTGTTCATCATGGAGGAATGATATGTATTGTGAAAATCTATTAATGTTAAAAATCTTTATAGTAAATACATTAAAAATCCATAATATAATAGCTTAGTAATTATATCATGGTTGTTTGTATAGTTTGTATTGATTTTTCAGCTTCTCCCATGATCTCTCATCATTTGTAACCTCTAGGTGGGGGCTGGAGGTCACCTGCTGTCCAGATGACAGAAATCAGTTCCCATAGAGAAAATGGCTGCTTTGGAGAGTGGAGTCTATGGCATTATATACTACTGAGGTCACCCTAACCCTCCCCAAACCTCACTCTCCCAAGGCTCCACCCCCAAATCTCCAGCAATTTCCAAACCTGGAGCTGGCAACCTTAATGGGGGAACTGATCTCTGTAGTTGGGGATTTGTTGTGATTCCAGGGCTTCTCCAGGCCCTACCTGGAGGTTGGGAAGCATCGAAGGAGATATGGAAGCAGGAAAAGGGGAAAGGCTATGGGGCTTTCAGGAAAGGGAAAGAGGAAATAGTGGGGAGAGGAAAATGAGATGCTTCCCGCAAATACATGAGAGTGTTCACTTGTATCATTAACATACAGTGCTAATAGTACTCTGGGAATTTTGGAATAAGGTTTTTACACACACACACACACACACACACAAATTCATATGGAAGTGTCCAGTTTTCCCCAAATGTCTAGGAATATAAGTTGTAGTTGAACTGAAGCTGTCACTGCAGTTTTCCCAGAGCAGAGGACTGTTAAGCTATAGTGACGTGATTATTTAACACTGTGGTCGAATCTGCATTTGCATTTTTAAATCAGTTTCATGCTGCTGTGACACCGTCTTTCTCTATGCTTGTTTGAATGTTCTTTGGAGAAGATTCTTTTAAAGCAGTGCAGAGGTGCAATGACAGTGGAGATGCCACGAAAGGGCAATAAACATATGCAGATGTGCAAAAGTATGCTAGCACTTTTGAAGTGTGAAAATGAAACCAAATGTAGACAGCTTTTTTTGAAGACGGAGTCAGAAGGCTGGGACACCGGTGGGAAAGACAAATGCAGATTCGACCTTAGTCTCCTGACACTGTGCTTCTTTTCCTCAGAAGTCTTCACCATAAGAAGAAAAACCGGCAGTAACGATATAGGATGTTGTGATAGTATTTATCATTTCAAGATATCTCCCTTATATATAAAAGCTGAATGGTGGTGGAACTTCTCTAACACATTCCACACGCTCCGAACTTGGTACAGCCTCATTGGCTTTTGCCTCGGAACACAGAGGTCGTTTGCATATGCGACTTGATTGGCTTTTGCCTCTAACATTCTAAACAGTTTGCTGTTCTGAGGTAAAATGTGTCTAATCTCCAGGTGAGGGCTGGAGATCACTCAGAATTACAACTGCTTTCCAGATTGCAGAGATCAGTTCCCCCAGAGAAAATGGTGGGCTCTGTATCCTTATATGCTGCTGAGGTGGCCCCCGTATGACAGCCAATGTGATGTAGCAGTCAGGGCTTCAGAGCACAGGAGAGGCTGCAGGTTTGTGGGGGGTGGAAAGCTGAAGA